TTGCTTCTTTTTTTTTTTCATGGGATGCTCAAGAAAAATGGTGACTTGAAGTACAAATAAATGACAATGTAGAGTTTGTTTGGATTGACTTATAAATAGCTTTTTAAACACGATTTACAGAATACGAGATAAGCATGTGAGGAAAGTTTTTCTTGCTTATGTGAATCTGCTTAAAAGCCTATTTTGAACGGAGCTTCAAGCAAGCCCGCGGTAGTACACAAATGTAGGCGTGATTAGTCATAATTAATTAATGGCCATGGATTAAATAAAAAAGTAAAAAGGATAAAAGAAGATTAATCAAAATTAAATTTGAAGATGATGAATATGGCTGAGATGAGACAAGGAGGGAGACAATGATAAGAGAGGATAATAAAAGTTGGGATAAAAGGAGATATGATAAGTTTAATTATTATTATATATACATAATAATCATCCCATGGATTTGATTAATTTGAACATCCTAAATCAACTTTAGCCTGTGCCCTACCAACCCTTCTCATTACTCAATGCAATACCGATAATTATTAGGGTTGAGACACTAATTAATCAAGATTATAATTTAATATTTTCTCTCTTCCTTGGAGGCCACCTGTTGTATTTTGATTTTGCCATGTTATTAACAATAGAGAAATCATACATGTCAAGTCAACCTGCAATTTTTCCGGCCAACCAATAGAATTTCTTGAATGGTGCTGACGTGGCATTTATGGTCTTATTGTGTTATAATTAAAATGATTTAAGTAACTAGATTATGATAATTATGGACAAAAAAAACTAGATTATGATAATTATTGAAAGACAAAAATATCACTTCCTGACAAAAGAACATTCGAGTTATTTACATGTGGATTAATCTGTATGTTTGTACGCATTAATATCTAGGGTGAAGGTGAATTTTCACTTATGAGAGTTGAGCACATAAAAGCTTTTTTAAATTTAAATTTATCTTAAAAATTTAAAATCATAATAATTTTGTCTCCCATTATTAAAATTTTAATAGTTAATGAACGTTAGCTTTTTAATAGTGTGAAAAAAAAATTGCTACAATTTTAAAATTTGGAGTAAATTTGTATCCAAAAAAACTTTTAAGTATCCAAGACAAATAAATGAAAACTTTGGAAGCAGATTTGCAATTTAACCCTAAATATTTGTCTTATTTATAAGCATGTGCAAATTTCTCAAGGGACAATGACAAAAAAAAAAAAAAAAGAGCTGAAATTTTGTAAATACTAAATAAGGAATGTCAACAAAAATTTGTTGTCATTTGCAAATTTAGACTTGTTAATACCAAATAAAATTACGTTACCAAACCTGATTTGAGATTTATAATTTCCAGCTTCTTTTTTTGTCATTCTCCTATTTTTTAAAAACTAAAAGTTCGTCAATGTCTGCTATGCTCTGAAGAATAATATTGAGTTATATTTTAAAATATTAATCATTTCAATATCATTTGTTTAATACTTGTCATGTATTATGTAAAACAATACATATAAAAATGTTGGTCTAAATGATATAATTATAGCTTTTATGGGAAATTTCTTAAAATGCATCTTTTGGAAAAACATATACATGTTCAAAATAAAAAAAATATTATAATTTGAATATCCTATAAAATTACAATATACTGTTAAATAAAATACTAATAAGTGATGGTTAAAAGCAAATGAAACCGGATATCTCGTAATTGAACTTGCGTGTTTGAACGTTATGTATAAAATAAACTACTATGAGTTGACAACAAGTTGTTGTGATAACATTTTTCGTCTTGTTTGGATAGTGTTTTGAATTTGAATTCAGTATTAGTATATTTGTGAGTATTTAAATTGTCTTGTTTAATCAATAAAAGTTAGGTTTAGTAAAAATGACTACAAACTAAAATTTGAATTTCTTGCTAAAAAAGAAGTCCACATTTAGTATCTAACAATATTCTGAATAGAAATACATCTACTAGGAGGATATCTATATGTAGCAAAAAAAAAAAAAATTTGTCTTGTTTATGAGCATGAAAAATAAAGTATATTAAAATTTTATATTTATAACTAAATTCGATCTCAACTAATTCTTATATAAGAAATTAAATCACTAGTTAATTATACTAAAAATTTCTTATATGGTAAACAATAAAAAAAAATCGCATTTCTTTTCACCATAACTTACTAAATGTTATCTCTATGGTGGTAACAAATGGCTTTCTTCTAGAAATCTATCAGAGTTAATTATAATTAAGGATTAGGTTTTCACCACAACACACACAGAAGACTTGTTCACATATTTTCACACTACTTTTACTCCCCACACACACACTGACACACAGACACACACACGCAGACAGACTCAGTCACACACATCATTGTGTAGCGTATTGTATTGTGTAGAGACAATTATGGGAATCTCCAATTCCATTTTGTGTGTGTGTGTGTGTGTGTGAGAGAGAGAGAGAGAGAGAGAGAGAGAATATGCTGATTAGGACATATGAATAGAACATAAGAGGCCCCCATATATGGGGTTGTCGGTGCTGCTGCAATGATTATGCCATTTTTTAATACTTTTGTGGATTCTGTGTTTGTATGTTTACTTCTAATTCTAATTATAATACCCAAAAAAAAAGGTGAGTTCATCACTCTCCCCAAAAGGAAGCCGTCAAATTCCATTAAGCCACACAAGGTGGTAAAACCCTGTTGTTCTTTTCACTATTTAATTCATATAGGTTATTATATGCCCTATCATTTGAAACCCTAGCTCACCGATTTCACAAAAAAAAGCTATATATGTACATGTATGCATGCCATATATGGATGTACATCCAATCTAAGAGGGTGTTTGGATGGAAACTAAACTATAGTTTCAGAAATGCTTTTACGGTTTACAAAGTAAATATGTAGAGAAGTTTGTCTCGTTTTGCAGAAAAGTGTTTCTGAGAAGTACTTTTTGCAACTGCCAAATACCCCCTAAATCTTATACTATTGGCAAGGTTTGGTATTATTCTGTTTAAAATCTCAACCATTTACAATGCAAATGGTTTTCAAAAATCATGTGTGATTTTGATTAATATGGAACAAGTCATGTTGAATCACATGAATGTCAATCTTTCTTGGTGACAATTTTCTCTATATACAAGACCTAAATTTTGGAATTCGGATAAAAGAAAACAGTTCCAAACCATTTGAACTAACTGCAAACTATCTCATATTAAAACTCTCTTAATAAGTGTAATTAATAGATATAATTTGAAAAGTAAATAATTTGGAAGAAAAATTGGATTGAGGCTTGCATTTGGGATTAAAGCAAATGCCTTCACTAACTCCTACATTTAGGAGGATCAGAGGAGTTTTTTTATTATAATGAAATAAGAAACTGACTCAGCCACATTGTTGTGGAATCTACCCACAATGGAAGGAAAGAGGGTGAGATATAGCTCATGAAGCTGCAAATTTCTCATAGGCCCCTATATGCAAGTTGCAAAGAAAAAAGTCCTAGTTGTACCTCGTTGATTTTCTACCACCGTCCAATGAAACAAGACGAAGTATTCAAAAGAGAATCACCCTATACTTGCACCATAGCTAGGAACTTTTCACTCGCACAGTAGAAGTGCAGTAGCACTATTGATACTTTAAAAATAAATCTTTTATCGTATTTGACATATGAATTACATGGAATTAATACTTCAAGCTTAGTGCTATCCTAGGCAACCTTTTAAAATAAGTTATTTATAAACACAACAAATCTTGTTGCATAAAAACAATTTGTCATGAAGATTCTATCCTGCTACAGCACGATCTGACATAGAGAGAGAGAGAGAGAGAGAGAGATAAAATGAGAGTGGAACTTGCATGTCAAGGTTGATTTATACATAATCCAGTGCTACCTTGTGCAGGTAGCATATGGTCCCATGTGAGAGATAAACGAAAACATAAACGAGAATCACTAAAAACATGTAAGTTTGGGAATTCAGGATTCTGCATAAGAACGAATTCTGGCGGCAATGCTACACCATTATGCAGCACTCCTGCTCTAAAACCAGAGTTCTATCTAATATGAGTCTAACACTAAATCAAAATCAGATACAACACTGCACAATATGAAATTGCATGCACCATATTTTGTGGCAGTATATGGATCTTGTCATGCCTATATCCATCTCAGTATCAATTAATCGTATCACAGATGACCAACTTACATGATCTCTTAAATACATCCTTCTAAACTAACGAGAGAGAGGGGGGGGGGGAGAGAGAGAAAGGTAGAGCTCACCTCTGTAAAACTTGTATATGGTTAGATTTAGAGATGCTCATCTCTTTATTTCTTTAATTCAATCCTTACTTCAAAAGATCCAAGCTCTGTGATTGACATTTCTTTTTCTTCCTATTCTTTCTTGCCTTCAAGAGTGGCCCCAAAAGAGAGGACCCCACAGGCTAACCATGTCCGAAGCTGGAGTGCCAAAGAAGCACACACGAACCAAAATCACGTGTCTCGTGGACCAACACATACCCCACCGGTTCCATCTCTCCTCCGGGAACTCCATTGTCCTTCTCATCCAATCTTAAAGCAGGATACGCGATGTTTACATTCTGACAGCTACAGATTCCTTAGGCAACAGTCTCCTAAACGTACGTGTAAGGTAGATGCGGAAATATACGCACAGTTTCATAAAATGAACTTTTCTAAATTGGGAAAAAGGGCATCCTTAACTGTGAAACATGTCTGTCGTTGATGGAAAGATTGAATAGTGGTTGCAACTGTTTGGAAAAAGTGCAAAGATTTTGTGAGATCTCTCTTTGTTTCAACTTTCCCGCTTCAACTTGGATTATACATGATAGCTTTGGCGTCCCTTTTGAACAAACCCCGAACCAGAAAGAAAAATCCTTAAAACTCTTCCTCCCAAGTAAGCGGTCTACATACGTATTGATGATAATGGGTTGACTCAGCCACCCCCAACTTGTTTAAATTCTGGCCCAACCCTTCAATTCCTTCGCTCTCTATCACTTCCCTCCTTTTGTTCTTGCTCACAGAGAAACAACAAAAGCCTTCATACATGATTCGACTTTTTCTGCCTTCAACTACCCTCATATCCTTCAACAGGAAAATGAGACCCCCACAACTTGGTCTAGTTAGGGAACACAACATTCTGTTCCTTAAAGGCTTCATGATCCTGTTTTTCAGTTTCATAACAATCCGACTTAACTTCTGTGTTTCCAGTATCCCTTATTCATTAAAATCACTTCCCCTGGAAGGTCACTTCAACTTTGATGATGTTAGCCATGCAGCCAGGGATTTTGGCAACAGGTACCAATATTATCCAATGGGTGTTCTGCATCCGAAATCAGTATCTGATATTGCAACCATCATCAAGCATATCTGGCAGATGGGTCCTAGTTCCCAGCTTACAGTTGCAGCCAGAGGTCATGGCCACTCACTCCAGGGACAGGCACAAGCTCATGGAGGAGTTGTGATCAATATGGAATCGCTCAAGTCCCCTGAAATGCAGGTTTATACAGGAAATTCTCCGTATGTGGACGTCAATGGTGGCGAGCTGTGGATAAACATCCTGCGTGAGAGTCTAAAATATGGGTTAGCACCAAGATCTTGGACAGATTACTTGCATCTGACAGTTGGTGGTACCCTGTCTAATGCTGGAATCAGTGGGCAGGCATTTCGTCATGGTCCCCAAATAAGTAACGTTCAGCAGCTGGAGATAGTAACAGGTTTGTAACTTGGTGAGAAACCCATAAAGCTGATGAAACCAAGTTCAAAAGATAAACAAGAAGAAAAGTTTTGCAGCTAAAACAACTCAATTTTTGCCTTCTCTGAATTAATGATTCCTTAAAAACATAACTATGAGAAAGTACTTACATGCTGCGACTTGACCCGGGTGACATGGGAAAGTCTTAACCATGAGTAACTCCTAAGGCTTTGAAAGTACAAAAATAGCATGATCTTTGAATTTTAAAAGATGATCAATGTATGTCTGCAGGAAAAGGGGAGGTGGTAAATTGTTCTGAGGAGCAGAATGGTGAACTCTTTCACGGTATACTTGGAGGGCTTGGTCAGTTTGGCATCATAACCAGGGCAAGAATAGTCCTCGAACCAGCACCTTCTAAGGTAAAGCGACAGAAATGATTCTCAGCCATAAAAAGGCATTTCGAGTTTATTGTGTTTTGAAACTACGATTAGTCACCGATAAACTTTCTATTTTGAGCAGGTCAAATGGATTAGATTGCTATACTCAGATTTCACAGCATTCACGAGAGATCAGGAGAAGTTAATATATTCAGAAGGCAAATTTGATTACATCGAAGGATTTGTGATAATAAACGGAACTGGTCTGCTAAACAACTGGAGATCATCTTTCAAACCACAAGACCCAGTTCAAGCCAGTCAGTTCAAATCAGATGGAAGAACTCTCTTCTGCCTAGAATTGGCCAAATACTTCAATCTGGAAGACTCTGACGCAATAAATGAGGTGAGGCAAGCAATAGGTCAACACAAGGATCCGTATTATTGAAATATATACATCACCAATGCATGTAGTCATTAAATAAAAAATATTAAAACATGCATCAACTTTCTCTTACTATGTTTCTTTCGTATGCAGGAAGTTGAAGAGCATTTGTCCCACTTAAACTATATACCATCAACACTTTTTCTAACAGAAGTCACGTATGTTGATTTCTTAGACAGAGTTCATGTCTCTGAGGTCAAATTGCGGTCAAAAGGCTTGTGGGACGTTCCACACCCGTGGCTCAATCTTTTCATACCCAAGAGCAAAATACACGACTTTGCTGAAGGCGTCTTTGGGAAGATCCTGACGGAAACAAGCAATGGTCCAATTCTTATCTACCCAGTAAACAAATCAAAGTAATGTTCCCTAAAACAAGCGATCTTCATTTCTCTACAAATATTTTTAGCCTTCAACGTGTGACTAACGTATATTGCTGTTGGCAGGTGGGACAACAGAACTTCTGTAGTTATCCCTGACGAAGACACTTTCTACTTAGTGGCATTTCTGACCTCTGCAGTTCCTTCTTCCAATGGACCTGATGGCCTACAACATATTTTAACTCAAAATAAAAGGATTCTAGAATACTGTGAAAGTGCCCGTCTTGGGGTAAAGCAATATTTGCCCCACTACACTACACAGGAAGAATGGAGGGCCCACTTTGGTCCTCAGTGGGAAGCATTTCTGCAGAGAAAATCTGATTATGACCCATTGGCAATACTTGCTCCTGGCCAACGTATATTTCAAAAAGCAATATCCTTCTATTGACCGCAGCAATTGTTAATTTGCTAGAGAAGCCGCCTTTGTATGCAGTGTAACACAGAAGGTAGAAGGGCTGACTGAGATCTGGTCAACAGAGGGGGCCAAATACTAAATGATTTAGATTTTAGGTAGTAGATTAAAGTAGACAATTTAGCGCTAGGAAGCATGTATATATCAATTTTGTAAACAAACCTCTTCTATTATTTTTTTTCTAATCTAGTGTAGCCGGTTTTAATTTAAAGACTACAAGAAACTCCATGAAGGTTAAGATATACATCACGAAAGTGAGTTGGTCAACATATCATAGAATACAATACAGATAAGATTGAATTGAACTCTGACTTGTCAACATTACTCAAGCTAAGCTAAATGCTGGAAAACAACATTAAGATAGACAAGAATCAGAAAGGCGGTGGATATCAAACTGTAAAAATCCATAATGTCAGTGTGCTAGAGCAATAAAGCAAAAATCACTTTAGCCCCTGTAGCAAGGATAAAATCGCACACCCATAATTCACTATTCCTACAGTGACCAATCACACAAGACAAATCGAAACAGAATCTCAGTTTTCTTTTTAACAGCTATTATGTTTGTGATTCTAATGCTTCAGATAGGCAGAATCATGTTTTGGTGTATGTGTTACTAATCACGTGAAAATAAAAACTCAGATAATAACAATACATCATATCAGAAAACTGTTTATGCTTTGTCAAGAGAAGTAATAGGCCAAAATTCCGACTGTGAAAGCTTATCTCCGTGATCAATTTCAGTTTGTCTCTCATGTGCTTTATTTTATAAAAATATTGGGAATCATTTTATGTCTTTTAATTTTTTATTTTCCTTCAGTTTTTGTATTTCTTCCCTTCAAACTAATAGTGGGGTATGCTTTTTCCTTCCTTTGTTTTATAACTTTATGTTTGTTCAGCATCAGCTGAAAGGATAAGACCAATGAAAGGAGAACTACAAAAAAGAACGTTTTACTGTTTCAAAGATTCTTGTCACTGTTTTTCAGAGGAGAATGGCATTCAGTAGCTTCTGGATCATTTCTATTGATCACTGCAATACCCATCACACAACGCGAGTTGCACCAAGACTCCAGAAAGTGGTGGTTCAGACAAATCACCTCTTGGCTCAGGTTTTGAAACCACTTAATAATCAGCTACATGCACGTAACTTTTGTTACCAATAATACCGCACAACTTTCCACATAGGTTATAGCAGAAAGCATGTAGAACATTTAATGTTGGATTTGAAAGCACTCAGCGAAGAGGTACACACCTGATTATACTTATTAAATAATAAAGCAACTTATCAAAAAACATGAAGGACCTTTGCTTGGGAATACATTCTATAAAAGGTACCAACTACGTTCAGGCAAGACGTGCACGTAAATAAAGTTGAAGATAAACGCAGAATAAGCCAATAATTTGTACATTGAAGGTCCACGCTCTCCATACGGTAGTAGAACAAGCCCAAGGATGAACTTAGCGGGATTCTTAAATATGAAAATAATTGCAGTCACCTTATGCAGCAAATACTTCCCCGCATACATTTATTGTCAATTATGGTGTAGATTTACTGATGACGGTAGATAAGCTATTGGAAGATTCTGCATTATATCTTCTGATAAAAAGCAGTTTGTCATCAAGTTCTCTTTTGGTGATGGATTAACTGAGACCGCATTAATCATTGTCCATGACAAGAAGAATTGAATGATCCAGGGCCATATGTTGCCCATATGGATGCCACTGCACAATGGAATTTAATGATAAAAGCAATGTAGCCTGACAGACTTCTGGGAATATGATTTTGAAGTTGTTCTAATCAGAAAATTGGATGTAATGATTAGATGGTAACTTCATTGTGCTAGATTTGAAAGTCAATGTGGGATGTACTGAGTGCCTCTAAGATATTTTATTTGATAGCAAAACTTCAATTAGGAAATTTGAAAGCAAATAAAACCTCGGCCTAATGTTTCAGGCACCCCAGTCGAAGTGAACAGAAAAAGGTTCGCCCAAAACACTTCAAATGCATAGATTCTAATTGTAGCATGTAAACAATGAGATATGCAAATTTTATGATGTAAATGACGAAATTCGGGTTGCACTAGCCTCCAAATATATTTTTAAAAGACTTCCGTTATGAGAGGACCATTTCATTTCTCATTGATATGCAGGGTTGACTCACCAGAAACGGTGCTCAGTTTTCATTTGAGTATAACATGAATTTTCACACGATAACCGGTAGCAATGCAGTCCAAGCTTATCAAATGAAAGAAGAATAACCAAATTTGATTAAGATTCTACACAAATCGTAAATATTTGAAAGCAGCAGGAAGCAGAACTAAAAAGAGTGTAGTTACTGAACCAAAATAATTCTCAATATATTTATGCCGTGGTATTGTTATTCTATTATTGTTTTGAATAGCTATTAAGAAATCATCTTTTGATGGCAAAAGAAAAAGGGAAATCATCTGCTAATGTATAAGGAATTGGAAAATTTGCATAAGCTAACATGCAATCCACCAATGTCACGAGGCTTTAACCTTCAGCCTCTTGTCCTGAAAAAACAGAGATCAGAAAAGGGAAGTAACTTGCAAAGTGAAGTCACGCTGATGTATGGAAGAATGGAGCATGATGCATCCTATGGTCCTATGAGCGTAGACTCATCAAAAAATGCAACGCCATGAAGTGCTAACAAATCTCCTCACAGACAAACTGTGCATCAGAACTCAAGGGCTTTGACATGATTGCTGGCCTATTCTATTAAAAATCATTTGTTTTCACAGGAAAAGAAACACATTTGCACTTCAAGACAAAGCAACCCAAGACTAATGAAGCATGTATGAGCAATCTAAAGCTAATTGCAATTTACAAACATAACGTTGGTGAAATGAAAGCATAGAATTATGTTGCTCCTACGGCATATCCAAAAGTCAGGAATTGGTCAATTGTACTGATAAGAAAAATAAATTAGTCACGAATCAACTGTTAATTAAAGTTTTAGTACGGAAAAGAAAAAGGATGTAGTTACAACTGAAGGAAAATAACTCGAAACCATGCAAAAATGGGGAACCAAGTTCGGAAGATTTAATCATCTGGTATGACAAATGATCTAAAGCAGAAGATAATGATCATTTAAGCTCTTACAAAACATGCTTTCATTCAATAATGAAAAGTCAAAACAAATAGAGCTTCCTTTCAGAAAATGCTGAACTGGAGGCGTATGCAATGGGGTTCTTCCATGTTAGAAGCAGGCAAATGTACACAAGTTCGTAACTAAGATGAGTTCCCTATCAAGCATAGAATTGCTCTTGTAATTGTACATCAAACTTCAATAACCACATTTTTAATGGACAAGAAAAGTAGTATCACGAAGTGAGTTTTCCTGTATCATACACAATGTAGCTGAAGAGGTGCAGAGCAGGGGATGAAGCAATCGTGGCCTCAACTCCCAAGTCTATGTATTACCATAATACGTCCAAATCAACCGTTTTCAATCTTTTTTCTTGTGAATTGTGTGGAATGTGAAGCTTAAAAAGGAATTGTCCGGTCTGGTTTTCTTGCGGCAGAAATTTTAAGAGCACTAGAGGCCCCGTCTGACAGAGAGAGCTTGTTGCTTGGTATTACAGGAGATTACCATCAACCACCATTTGATGACAAATTATAAAGAATCCCTCGTCGTCGTCGGTGACGACCAGCCAGCACCCACCGTCTGCAACAAGCCGGAGAGCCACCGCAATTCCAAATAATGCAACCTTCAGGCAAGTCCAGATACTAGTCGAATACTCCTAAAAAATTTTATTATATTTCTTTTTTTTTTGACCAAAATTTTATTATATTTCTAAATTTATCTATAAAAATTTATTAAATAAAATTTTAAAAAATGAAACAACCACTCGACTATAATTCTGTTTTTTGGGAATTTACTGCAGAAGTTGAGCTTCTAGAAAGCTAAGATAGCTATGTAAAACAAGCTAGCTCGTGCAATTAGTATAGAATGTTTGATCCAAACACACACACACATATATAAATATAATCTCAAGTTTAATTTATAAGTCAAGGTATTGGGCCTGTTTGGAATAGTTTATAATTAGCTTTTCAATCGTGATTTACAGAATACAAGGTAAGTATGTAAGAGGAGTTTTATTTTAACTCACATAAAACATGTTTATAAATTATTTCAATTGTGATAGCAAGCAGGGTCATTGTCAGTTAGGGATAGAAACAGGCTAAACCTCACCCTTAATAGGCCCGGCCTATGATGAGACCTATTAGCTTGAGCCTGACCTATAGCCTATGAAAGGCTTTTTGTTCGACCTGAGCATGGCTTGTAATTAGGCCTAACCTGGCTTGTGGCCTGTTAAGAAACTTGTTTTTTTAACAAATTTCAAACACACATAAATCAATTCTAAACTACAATAATTCAACCCAATTTATCTAAAATACAAACAGAAAATATGAAATTATCAAATTAACATAATTTGTTTTTGCTAGTTGCTACAATTATAACAAACCATCAAACTGCAAAGCATTAAATCTTCAACACAATTTTTTCTTCTTGTTCAAATACCTAAGAATCTACATGGCTATTTCCCCCTAATTTTTATTCATATTTTTCCGTAACAAATTATTAAAATAAATATATGGGCAGGGCACGACGATACACTGAGAATACCATGGGAGGAGGTTTAATGTTTTTACGCAATATATACGTCAATAGCCAAATGGCCAAAAGAACAATAAAGAAAAAGAGCTTGTAAAAGAATGAGAACCTGAGAATAAACTGAGACTATTTTGTATGTATCAATTAAAACATAAGGATGCGCGTGCCAAAAACATAAGAGGCAAAAGAGCGTTGGCCTGCTTGGACCAAAATCTTATTGGTCCAAACTAATAACTAATTATAAGTAAACCAAGCCCATTTACAATCTTAACATTAAAAAAAAAAAAGATAACAGACTCAGGCTGCCTGACAGGCCTAATAGGTTTATTATTAGGCCTGAGCCTGATATGATAAAGTAAACAGGCTTTTTTATAGGTCTGAGTCTGTTCTGATATCTAAATAGGCCACAGGCCGCCTAGCCTATTTCCATCCCTATTGTCAGCTCAGCAAGTTCCTATGTTGCGAAAGGGAGCTATGAATTTCAACTTGGGATAAGTCTGTTGCCCGAGTACTTAATAACAGGATTTGTGAAAAAAAACAACAAATAACTGAAAATACCATAAAAAAATAATTAAAA